GTTCCCCTAACGGCTAGGAGCCTCTCAACGAAAGAACTACAGTATGTGCATTACATGCTCATTTAATGAGCTTCACTCGTTGAGATATTTAAAGTTGATGATTGACCAAGGATCCAGGCGGATAATACTTTACACACACCCAAAATAGCATGTCGGCTACTTTTAGAACCAACCGGTCAAATCAATAGTACAAGCATTTAATGAAGATGTCCTCTATACTCCAAAGGGAAGGCATCTTTCAGTATATATGATACACTTCGAAGGGCTGGCAAGTTAATTTTCAACGAGAAACATTCAAGCAATCAAATTCTCTTTAGAGCTCATCTTCTACCTTTTTCACAAGAGATCAAGCTTGGAGTTGGAAAGATAATATTTTCATATCATTCAAACCAACTCAAAGAAAGTTCCTCCAGTACTTCAACACTTCGAAAGCTTCATCTACATATCTTTCACTAAGAAACGTTGGAGAAAATCTTTTGTTACTTAATCTATCTTCTTGTTTAAGAAGGGTGTCTCAAAGTAACTGGAGTAGTGAAGTAGGGATACTTCAAGGAAGCTCAGTGAAACGAGACTAGTCACAAGGAAGATAGGAAGAGCATCCCGGGTGACAACTAGGCTTGAAGAAGACGTGGAATGCTTCTTAAGTGCTAGGACTAAGGCGTTGTAAATTTGCTCTTTACAAGCTTAGTGGAACAGTGGATTAGAGGAACACGTTGTTCTTTGAACCACTATAAAAATCTCTGGTGTCATTTACTTAGTGCTTTTATACCTTGCTTTAGTTTCTAATTGTATAACTCTAAAAGGCTTGGATTTCGTGTTCAACGAATCTTGTCTTAGAGAGCTAACAGAAATGCAAATGCCTTAGTGTGTTTGGGAGGCTACCCAAACAGAAAACCTATCCGTTGTTGGTCAGTTCTGCTACACAAAAAGGCTACCCTCTTTGTGTGTCTTTTCCCTAGACACGCAAAAAGTTCAAAAACAGAACAGTCTATTCACCCCCCCCCCCCCCCCCCCCGGGCTGTTCCTTGTGTAACCGGGACCAACACATTTCACCATGTTTTCATCTTGGAAGTCTAGCCCCATTGTACTCTGTAGTCATCTCTACGCACGTGTTGCATATCACTTTTTATCCGCATGATGGATGTGTTGGGTCCCATGTTGTCATTGGCAAAGCTAGGGGGCAACTAAGTCCCGGTCCACACCAAATTTATAAAATACCTTATTTTTTAGCATAAAAAAGTCAATATAATGTTCCAAAAATGTTCTTTGTTCCCAATCTGGCCTAGTGCCTTGGCTCCGACTACAGTGTCATGTTTCACAACGGTTGTGATACCAGTGGCGATGACAGTGATACTAGTGGCACATTGGCACTAGAATAAACCAGTATTGACATAAAAAATTGTGACTGAAAGTGACACTCGCGAAGTTTCACACATTTGTCCATACAAAAGAGTAGACACAGTTTTGAAATTGAGTTTCGTTTTATTACTATTTAAGGAAAAACCCAAAAGCGTACGCTACAGAGAATCAATTCCCATGTAGGTATAATAAAAGCACGCTTAGCTGATTTGTCACATACATACATTTTAATTATTTTAATTAAACTAGGTCTAACGTAAGAGGTAGGTACACAAATATGGTTTGATGCATGCATACAAAATATGAGATCTATATTAATAGAATGGTTAAGCATTTCTATGTAAAACCATCAAAGTGCATGCTTGCCTTGTTTATGTTCGTATAGTTATCCATCCATCCCAAAGCTAGCTAAGCATGGAAATGAAAACCCCGAAATTGAACATTTCTTTCTGTTTATTGGGACTGGTCTTATCGATTGGAACAATGAGGCTTTCGTTATGTGATGATGATCAATTCGCATGTAAGAAAGCCAAGCCCAACGATGATTGCTATAAGCTCATAATGGCAACTGTTGAAGCAGATGGAATTGAGGGGCACGTTGCTCCAAAGGATGCTCCTTCACCTGAATGTTGCGCAGAGGTTAGAAGCTGGGGAGAATGGTGCTTTTGGCTGTGGGTGAATGTGGAGATTGGTCAATTCGGATATGATCCCGAAATAATCTTGATCAATGGTAACGATACATGGAATCAATGTCAAGAAGGGCCACCACAACCCAAGAGAGTGACACCTTCTATGAGACTTTAGTTAGTAATTAAGGGATTCACAATTCTTTTTATGCATACAATTAATATTTGAGATCAAACAAAGCTGCATATGCAAACATATTTATTTATTTTTGTTATGACAATATATTCCCTACCATCAGCACGAAAATGTGAAATTAATTCCGACAGTGTGAGATTTTAAAAAAAATAGCGACCATTTGGTATAAAGGTGATCACCATAATCATTATATGATTTGGGATAGAATAAAAAGCTCCATTCCCATGAAAAGTAAGAATGAATTTGGTGCATTAAAAATGTGTTACACCGGATAAAAAACGCGGTGACATTATTGTAAATAGATCGGTTTTTCTTCCTTGCAAAAATACATAGGCGATCTAAATGAGTGACTTGTTTCCTTCTCTTAATCTTGAGCAATAAGTCACATGTAAACTTACAGATGCCCAACACGCGCCCTTGATCAAATGAAGCTTAGACATATGCAGGACTGGATGATATGAGTCGTGCACTCATGCAGTCATGCATGTTTATGTGTTGTCCGTCTTAAGCCTTTAATAAAGACCGAGGCTGAGGGTGTTGGGTAGGGATGGACTCAGGTAGGGTCGGGCCTGACCGGGCTTTTTATTGGTTTGTTGAGAACCGGAACTGGCTCGGGTAGCTACTGGGTCCGGGTCGGGCCCGGGTCGGACCGGGTACCTTTTTTTATTTTCTAATTACTTCCTACCCCCACACCCCAAACCCATCCAAAACACCCAGCCCAACCCATTTACCTCACAAAGATTTTAAAAAACAAAAAAAAGGCCCGGCCCGGGCCCGGACCGGCCGGTTCATTTTTTGGAGACCCGGAGCCCGCACCAAGAATAACCGGTTTGGGTCTACTGTACCCGGCCCGGACCGTGGGCCGGGTTCGGGCCGGTTGACCCTGCCCGAGTCCATCCCTAGTGTTGGGTTGCACGGTTGCACCTAGCTCAGCTTTCAGTATGCACAGTTGACGTATAGTCCCCTCTTTCTCTAGCAAGACATAGTTGCACCTAGGGCATCAATCTACTCTATCATGAGTCCCTAATCCATGAGACGAGAGGCTCGTGATGGATCAATATAGTCTATCCTTGAACCTAGCTCCAGACTCACATTCAGAATTGATACATCCAAGTTAATTCTTCTGTAACGCAGAATAAATTCCATTATATTTGCACGTTATGAGTCAGGTTACGTTGTCTAACATATACGTACTCTAAAATGCATTTTTTGTCCACTCTTGTGCTACATTTTTTAGGTTTTTAACGTCCTCGACTTTTCACGTAGCAATTTAGAGCATCCGCAACGTGGGGATGTCTAGTCTTAAAAAAATACGCCAGCTCACCACATTAGACATTCTTTATGTATTCCCCCCACCAATGCACGTAGTGTCCCATTTACTTTAGCTGACATGGCAAAAAAATGATAAACACTGTGAAGGGAACTTTCCGAGTGTAGAAACCCTCCTAGACTTGCTGACTGGACAAAATAACTAAAAAATTGCATATGTTATTTTCTACGAGACGGTTATATCGAGTTGCTGCTTTGTCCAAACTACCTAAATGCAGAGTCTGTCCAACGGCCACCACGCCGGCGGCGGCGGTCATTTTCCCTAGTAACACCAGAGTGCCCTCGATCAGATTCTCCAGACATTACATATATACGTACTCCGTATAAATTTATATAAATATACTCTGTATATAAATATTCAAGGATTTTGATTGAATTGAGACTTCATTTTCTTTTCTACATAAACAGATGATAGAACTATGAAGAACACGATAACCAAATTGGTAGCTTTAAAACCCTTTATAGATCGCAGGATTGGAGTGATTAAAATTAAAGAAATATTGGGGATTAGAAGAGCAATATATACTTCGTATATTTTAAGTTACGTAAGTTCCGACCAGTTGTGGAACTTGGGAAGTAAGACTTTGAGGATTGGAGACTTATTTGATAGTTCAATATCTAATCACTACACTTTACATGACGTGTATTAGAAAGCCATTTATTTATTTGACATTTGGCATTTTAAAAATAGATTAGACATTAGAGCATTGTGGATGCTCTTAATAGCGACATAAATAGGACAATGGCTTGTCCTATCCCATTAAGGTCAACTATTATATTCACTTATATGTTCATTTATGGATCATACCCTCCCTCAAGCACTACATAGGAAAATGAGGTAGTATTAGCTATTGAGGTTACCATGCATGAATTTCGTAGGTAATGTGATATTATAAAGTTCCACTATCCTTAACTCAACTATTCTTACATGTTTATATTTTTAAGAGATTAACATTACACTAACAATTCAAACCTAACACATTAGGTAATCTTACATTCTTATAATCACACATTATCTAGGTCATCATGTAAGATGCATAATATTATATTCTTGTAAACTTGCATCACCTTCATGAAGGTAATCACATTATCTAAAGTTATCACTTACATTCCGTGAACCTGATGGATGATAAAATCTCTCACGAAAATCGTATCTTGAAACATGAAAGATAAAGTGAATGGTTATAATCAGCTCTTACATGATTAGTTTGGGTTTAAACATTACTCCATATTATTTAGGGTGGATGCAGTAATTTTTTATTTTTTTGCTTCAATTTTTGCCTATGCCATTAGGGCAATTAACTTCTAGCTAGAGCAAATAGTATACTAAGCATAATTAACGTCTCATCAAATGCCTCAACCGTATTATTATGAGCATTAACCCAAAGTGAAAAGCAGCCGTACATACACGCACACAAGATTAAAGGATTGAGGCCACCTCTTGTACCCAATCTCCTCCACCAGTGCAACGTGCAAATAATAAATAATATTGGAGAAACAAACCATGGTTCATACAGTTTTTATTGACAAGCAAATGGAGCGAAATTTGCGTAAATTTTTAGATTTGAGATTTGGATATACTCATAAGAAATATCAAAACTAATTGAGTGGCACCTTATTCCACACCCAGTTCACTTAATTATGGGGTCAACTTGGGAAAACTAAAGCATCATAAATATAAATGAATACATATATCATCTAAGAGGAAATGAAAGATTCAATTCCTCCTAAAAGCACGGTTAGGCCTACCTTCGCAGCCTCTTCTAGAAATTTAGCTTTAGAAAGCTGTATGTGCACTGAAATGGCAAATTTGTCGAGACTGACCATGGAATAACTTACAGGGTAGTAATCAGCACTTGAAACCATGGCAGACAGACAAGACAATAATAAGAATCAGAGCTATAATGATTGCCATCACTATAAGCTTCACCTTCATATTTTCGAACCACAACTTGTTTTTAACTGCGGTTCCTTGTTTCTTGAAATCTTGTGCCTAATATGAAACACCATACACATGCCAAAATAGTATCAACATATATAGACAGTAGCCGACATGCCTAATGCAAGCATACTTAGGTAGGTATAGCCATATAGATATCTGCCTTTCTATAGATTGCCTCTCAGCTCTTTAGTTTGTGTCTTGTACTTGTTTTGTGTTTAAGAGGTTGTTTGGAGTAATAGAGAAGATAGCGTCTAGATCAACTAATTGGTGTGTTGTATAAGAAAATGGCATCCAGTTTAATTGGCTTTATCCCAAATAAAAGGACTTAATATAAGTGTGTGTAAAAGGAGGGCTTAGGCACATGAGCGCATCGGTTAAAGTCTTGTTGTGTGATTAACAGGTTACGGGTTCAAGTCATGGGAGTGGCATCTCGTCAAAAATTGGCAAGGGCAGGCTAACCCCTGGTACTTCCATGTGGTGGGACCCTTCCCTATACCGTCGCCTTCGGCTCTTCGGGGATGTCATCGTGGTTTTTTTTGTGTAGGAGTGACCTATATTTGTATTGCCAATGCTATATTCTTAATATACCCCACAAGATGTTGATTCTATTGAGCAGTTTAACCGTAGAATTTGTGTGTTCTTTAAGTCTTAATCAGATAGATTGCTTGTTGATTTAGCTTAATTCTATCATACCATGTTTAGCTTAGAGGTTATAAGACTTATATATAGACACACACATATATAAGAGATGAGAAGCTAACCTGTGAGCGAAGATTCTCTGTTTTATCAACAAGAAGCTCAATCTTCTCACCACGGTCAAGAACCTAAGAAGAAGATAAACTCTATGTTGAAGCAAAATCTTACACCAACTGAATGTTTAGAGGCAAGCACTCATAATTAAGCAACATATTATTGCAGCATAGTTTTAAGTGTATGAAAATCTAGGAACAAAGACAACCCAGCAAACACTCCTCACCTTCTCAATGTTTCCCATCATTACACCTTTTACTTCATTCACCTGACCCTGAACTGCGGCGAGCTTGCTAATTTCTTCAGGATGATCAACACAATATTTCATGTGCTCTTTCAGTTTGGGGCTATGGTGGAATCGCACAACCACAAAAATCTTAATATAAATTGGCATTGCGTTAGATCGAGTATGCGGTGGTAATTAGGGAAGCTAAGGATGTTACCCAAATGTTTTAGTAAGACTTTTGGCAATCGCAGTATCTGCCTTCCCTTTACCATATCTCTTGATAAAATCCTCCTTCACGCGTTGCAAGAAGGCAGTTGGAAGTTGTGATCCGGCAGAGTCCCTTGCAACAATGCAGTAGGCTGCAGGTTGATGCTAGAAGTGAAATTCGAGAAACAAATGATGATGGCAAATAACAAATTACACCACCAAGCTCAATATGTGGAATAGCATGAGAGTAGCTGAAGTTGATTCTCAAGTTCAGAATTCAGATCAATGAAATGATCTACTATACAAAGCATACCTAATTAGGATATGCAATTGCACCCGATTAGACTCAATATGGAACATGAGTGCCTACCACACACATCCCATCAGAGTCTTCTCTGATATTAATAAATAGAAACTAAAACCTCCACGGCACTTGGGTTGGATCACTTAAATGGATGTAAATCACTAAGATTAAACCACACTAACACTTAAGGATTGAATCAAACATATTAAATAGTTCAATCCAAGGTCTTGTTATGCGGTCATTTTTTTACTCTAAGGTGAGATTCTAACAGACCAATCCGAACAAATCCACTTTTATATACTCCTAATTGAGAATGTAGTTCATTTAAAAATATAATTACGCATTACATTCATACTGGAAATGCACAACTATTACGGTTACAGCTTACAAATGCCAAACATTGCAATCATGATGAATATTTTGGATTTAAAAGCCTTAAATGAATCAATGAACTCAGAGTCTCGGTGGTCGTTTATTCATATATGTGATGGCGTAAACGAATTAAATGGTGGGAGAAGAAGACTGACTGAAACCGTTCTCGGCGAGGTAATTGAAAGTGTAGCCATCGCAGTTGTAGGTGAATTTGTTGTCGGAAGCGGGGAGCTTGTGGAGGCACTGGCCGGCGACGTCGATGAAATTGCCAGAGAACTCGGTGTACTCGGCTAGGATGACGGTTCCTCTGGACACAAAGCTATAAATCAATGTATCTTGTCCCATAGCTTTTCCGACCTAGCTGGCTTTAATGTGTGATGGATTCTTAGAAGCTGGAAACTCATTAATCAAACAATGAAGAAATATTGATGGAGATGAGTGGATTAGAGAAAACTGAGCTCTCAAAGGAAGGAGCACATCCACCATGTTAGGCTTTGACATTAATGTAAGCGCGCCACATGGCGGCAACGAATTCAGAGAATGTCACTCCGAAAAAAGTTGAACTTATAGTTATAGTTATATTGTTCCAAGAAAAGGTGGAATCTCTCACCCAGGAGTCCCACCACGACCTGACAGGATGGTGAGAATGTTAGTACTCAGTCAGCAGAATTGTAGGCTCATACATCTGTGCACGTCAGAGGCCCAGTCTTATTTCAGGTGGGAAGGTTAGTCACGGTAACTCAGTCAGCAGAATGGTAGGCTCATACATCTATACGCGCCAGAGGCCCAATCTTATTTCAGATTCTGTGACCTCCACCCGGTCGCTGCGGGGATTCGAACATTGATCCATTGTTCCAAATCTCCCACCACTCGACCAACTGAGCTACTCGTGCGGGTATTAGTTATAGTTATATACTCCGTAACAATGTCACTTTATAAATTACTCGAGTATAATACTCCATAATAATTACGTATTACCATGTATTTGATGTATTTTAACTGAATTTTATAAAAATTCTATAATTCATACATGTAACACAAATTTAAGCACATAATGTTAAAAAAAAATCATAAATATCAACATATGATCATCAATATCTCCATAAGTTATTAATTTTAATGGAAATCGCCTTTATTTAAATAGTCTCAAAACCAAACCAACAAATCAGCCTTATACAAAAAACTAGCGGCCAAACATAGACTCTACCAATACACAGAGGAGTTGAAAAGTTTGATTTGACCATGTCAGTCTCCATCTTCCTAACATAATACTTCCTCCGTTCTTAAATAAATGCAACGGTCAACATTTCACACTTGCTGAGACACAATTTTGACCATTAATATAAATAATTTTGTAGTAATAAAAAAATTAAAAAAAATAGATTATGAAAATTTATAATGAGACAAGTTTAACAATATTTTTTTCATAAAATAATATTATTACATTAACAAATAAAACGTAGTCAAAGTAGAACATGTGAATAGTGTAAAAGTCAAAGTGTTGCATTTATTTAAGAACAGAGGTAGTATGAAAAACCTACAATGCCCTATCAAATTGAAAGAAAGAAAAATAAAAATAAAGCGTATAACACAAAGAAATTAAATGGTAAAAAGAAAATAAAGACAGTAAAGAAATAAAGCAAAAAGGAGTCGTTATTGTCCAACTATGCAATGCCATTGCTCGATTTCTTTCATGACTACTTGAAAGTCGTGAATATTTATTTCAATCTGAAGTATATCAATCTCATATAAATAATTAATAATTCTGGTAATTGATAGCGGTGATACCGGAAGATGTGGGATAGGGGTGGACGCGGATTCAAGGACTGAGACTGACCCATTGATACTGATCAGGTTATCTACGTAGAATTATAGAAGAGATAACGAGAACAAGTATGAAAGAATTCATAGAAGAGTAGAGAAGAATGGAGAAGAAGATCTTTTATTCAAATGCCTGATTTCACTAATGCATACAACCAGCTATATATGCTATTCAACGATCAGTTTAAGAAGCTAGTTAACTCCAACTAACTTCTAACTAACATTTCTCATATTAATAGCTCTAATTACACGTAAACAAGTAAGCTAACACTACTTGCTGAGCTGACATCCTCATCTACTCACTGAGCTAGCATCTTTCAACTTCTGACTGTATCAATACTCCCCCTTCAAAACTGACTTGACCTCAAGTCATCTGGTCGTAAAAATCAGGGTAGACTGCCTTAATAAAATCTGACCGTTCCCAAGTTGCATCTTCCACACCTTGATCTTCTCATTGAATCAGAAATTTGACTCTAGCCTCATTTCCATGTTTGACAAGCTGTCTCTCCAAAATAGTCACAGGTTTCACCATACTGCCTTGTGACAATCCGTGCAACCATGTAGGTATATGTGGTCTATTTGGCAAGTTCCCTCTGAATGGTTTCAGTTGAGATACATGAAAAGTATGATGAATTCTAGTATCTTCTGGCAATATCAACTCATAAGCAACCTTCCCCACCAACTTGCCTACTTGAAATGGTCCATAGTATTTAGGAGCAAGCTTGTCATTTGTCCTTTGGTCCACAGAACTCTGCCTGTAAGATTGCAGCTTGAGCCACACGCAATCTCCAACTTTAAAGTGTCTTTCAGACCTATGTTTATCAGCCTGGACCCTCATTTTGTTCTGTGCATTCATCAATAAATGCAATTTAAGCACCTTAATCATATCTTCCCTTTTTGGAAAGATCTATCTACTGCAGTGATGGATACGTGTACCCGGGGGGTATCAATAACGAGGGGTTACTGCGGATAGTAACTAGAGAGAAGTCAGAGCAAAAGTAAGAGAGAGAATATATATTGCTGAGAATGTGTTGAGCGTATTGAACATGGATTACAAATGGGGAAAGGGGTGCTATTTATAGTAGTAACAAATGCCAGATAGGGACATGTGTCATCATTCTGGTGGTCGAGAGGTCACCTCAACGGGGTGGCACTGGCACTCGCATGTGGCCGCATTAAATGCGGTGGTTGGATGTGACGTTGTACTCGGTACGTTGATCCAGCGCATGTGGGTGGGAGATTCCGTCGAGGAGATGCCTTCGGCCGTAGGTGATTGGCTGAAGGCTCCTCACCCCGGGGAGCCTCTGGGTGCCGAGGGCTCTAGGTGCCGAGGGCTCTAGGTGCCGAGGGCTACTGTTCTCGCCGTTTTCTCCCAGACGCTTTGAATGCTTTAAAGAAGCTGTACTGTAAGTTTACGAGCCTTCGACCAGGGGGCCGAAGGCATCCCAGTGTTCGTCGTGGGCTGTTTGGCACTTGGGGTGCTGTGATTTGGGTCTGTTGTGCTTCCTGGGCCTATTAGGCCTTCTCTATAGTAGTGGGAGTCTATGGGTCGGGGGTTCCTGGGCCATATACTCCATCAGGAGTCTCTCACTCCTTTTGTCGAAAGGTACTTGAGGGAAAAGGAGTAATTGCGGTTGTCCTCTGATGTTGCCTTGCTGTAGTTTGTAAACTCGTGGGAGGTTTGCGTTTGCACACGATTCTACCGGGGGCAGCCCTTCAGTCCCCCATATTTTGGGACTGAGGGGTCATTTTTGGGGAGATTTTGAGCTTTTGCATTTTTGTGATTTTTCCCGAAGGGGTCCTCCAGTCCCCCACTCCTTGAGGCATATGTAATGTGGTGAAGAGGAGTAAAGTATGGCCCGTTGTTATCATATTGCCGAAGGCTGACGCTTTTCGTTTCATTTTGGGGGGATGCCTTGTTAAAAACCTCATTAGAAAAAACCCTGTGGGAAAAAATTCTAATGAGGGAAAAAGAGTGCACCGAATTCCCCCAACGATGAATCGAAAAGGTGAAACCTTGGTCCGAAATGGATGACAGTATTGTTGCCGAAGGCTATCCTTGTCTGGGGGCGTATGTGTTGATTTGCCGAAGGCGCTTTGTTAGTATCCCGGGAGATGCCGAAGGGGAGTCCCCCAATCCATGGGATTGAGGGCGTGATGAGTGTAAGCGGTCGTTGCTGCATTGTCGGGGGGATTCTTTGGCTGTTGACAAGCTGGGGGTGAGGGTACCCGAAGGCTACCATTGATGAGGGGTTTGGAGGTGTGGACCCGAGGATTTCCTGCATTCCAACATGTTGAGGGTTGGGGGGTCCCGAGGGGTTTCCCATTGTTAGGTCGTGGGCATCTGGAGGAGAAAGCCCGAAGGCATTTGTAATGTTGTATGAGGGGTACCGGCTGGGAGCGCCTCTGTGATCTCAAAATATAGCCGTTGCGATCATACCGTTGGCATATGGAACGTTTAAAAAGTATCCGTTGGAGAGGACTTCAACGTGGCGCGTACCTGTTGGCTAGCTTTGGGCGGGCATCACCGGTTGGCAGAAGGGGCGGCGCGTAATGATGGCTTTCGTAACCGGAGGCCCAGTTTTGGGCCCAAGCCCGGATCTGGGTGCCTATAAATACCCCAAGGCCAAGGCCATTTTCCTTGTGCGATTCCTTGTTAGCGAAGCTCTGCCGAAATATTTCTAGAGAGAGAAACTTGCCCTCGATCAAACTACCAGCTTTCAAGGCCAGTCTTCGATCCACTCTCGGTTGCCTTCAGCACACTTTGCTTTTTTCTTGGTGAGTTCAGCTTTCGTAGCCTTAGGCTAAGTGATATAGTTCCTTAGGTAGCCCTCTGTTGTAGAAACCTTTGACCCCTAGTCTCTGAAAAAGATGTCGTCTCAAAGTACTGACTCACAAGATATTTCAAGGGAGCCCTCGCTTGAAACTGAAAGCGTTTCCGAGGTGGAGTCTTCAAACGAACAACCCTCGGCCGGTGGTGATTCTGCCCTCACCATGGAGGTGCAAAAAGATCTGGTTGTCGAAGCCGAAGCCGAGGACTTCGAGCAAGTTAACGCTGACGAGGAGATGGCCCTCGCTATGCAAACTGCCATCGAGGAGGAGGAGAGGGAGCGCCATCGGGTAACCATCGCCATCCCTTCAACCATAGCCACCGGGGAAGGGACATCTCGAGCCCTGAGCCCGGAACCACTCAGAGCGGCGCCCTCGGTGAAGGGAAAGAAGAAGATGAAGGCTCCCAAGAAAAAAGGGGGTGTGGCAGACGTGGGGAAGCCTGTCGATATGCCCGAGGGGTACTCCTACCTAAACACCGCCGCCCTCGAGTTGAAGTCGAAGGCGGATTGGGCTGAGTGCTATGTGACCCAGCTGAGTGTAGGGCTTTCTGCTGTCGTGGCGCAACCTGGTCCCGACGATGTTCTCTCCCGGGCGCCTGAGGGGTGCATTGCGGTGCATATCCTCTCCGTTGCAATGGGCCTTCGGTTCCCCCTTCATCCCTTCCTTCGCGAGTACCTCCGGTTTGTGGGTTTAGTTCCGTGCCAACTTACCCCAAACAGCCACTCATATATCACCGGGTTCCTTCACCTCTGTCAGTCCCGGGGAGTGACACCGAGCTTGGACTTGTTTTTCCAAAGCTTTAACCTTTGCCGAGGAGGCCACGCAAATGCCGAGGGCTTTGCTAATTTACAACAGATTGCCCAGTGGA